TTAGTTCTGGGACTAGCTTAGTGGCATATCTTTGAGCCTTTTGTGATTGATAAGGTACGAGCTCCATGTAGGGACCGCATACCTGGTTGATGGGGTTCTGGGAGTTCTTCTACTCCCCAAGCCCGGCCCGAGGCCAGGCTCGACTTGTGAGAGTTTGGTCCACCAGGCTGTTGCTTGGAGCGGCCCGCAGGGCCACGTACCCACCACAGCCCGGCTGATCCGGAACTTCTCTTAGAAAACCGTCCAGTTTTCTCTTGAAGATGTCCACGGATGTTCCGGCAATATTTCTTATGCTCGCTGGGAGGACGTTGAACAACCGCGGACCCCTGATGTTTATACAGTGCTCTCTGATTGTGCCTATGGCACCTCTGCTCTTCACAGGTTCAATCTTGCATTTTCTTCCATATCGTTCACTCCAGTACGTTGTTATTTTACTGTGTAGATTTGGGACCTGACCCTCAGTATTTTCCAGTTGTCCTGCGATAATGTCATATCATTAATGCAAATACTCAAACGACAAGGCCGACGGGTACTTATCAACTGGGTGGCAAGTCATGTGGGAATAATAGGAAATGACATTGCAGAAGAAGCTGCAAAACTTCCAACTAAGAGAAGAAATGTAGACATTTACATACCACTGAGTATGTAAATGTGTGAGTCTATCACAGATTAAGAAAGTAATTAGAAACAGAGCAATGCAAAAGATGTACAGTGACCACAACACAGCAGTTGCAACATCAGGATCTGCGGGTTGGTACAAGAATTCAACAAAAGTACACTACGAACCACTTAGTTTGATGAAAGGGAGCAGTAGAACAACAGAAGTACACTAACATCGCATCAGGCTTGGATACCCATGTGCATGGGAAATAGGCGTCCAGCTTCCGGAAGATACGAGGAAATGTCAGCACTGTGGAGAAATGCCCGACAGACCACTGGAACATTATCTAACACAGTGCACAGTTACAAACCCATTAAGATTTCAACTTAGAATCAACAGAGCAGAATTCGCATGCTCCAGAGAGCATGCGCATTACAACACCTGCCCCCGCACTACAACACCTGCCCCCGCACTACAACACCTGCCCCCGCACTACAACACCTGCCCCCGCACTGCAACACCTGCCCCCGCACTGCAACACCTGCCCCCGCACTGCAACACCTGCCCCGCACTGCAACACCTGCCCCCGCACTGCAACACCTGCCCCCGCACTGCAACACCTGCCCCCGCACTGCAACACCTGCCCCCGCACTGCAACACCTGCCCCCGCACTGCAACACCTGCCCCCGCACTGCAACACCTGCCCCGCCCCCGCACTGCAACACCTGCCCCGCCCCCGCACTGCAACACCTGCCCCGCCCCCGCACTGCAACACCTGCCCCGCCCCGCACTGCAACACCTGCCCCGCCCCCGCACTGCAACACCTGCCCCGCCCCCGCACTGCAACACCTGCCCCGCCCCCGCACTGCAACCCCGGCCCCGCCCCCGCACTGCAACACCTGCCCCGCCCCCGCACTGCAACCCCGGCCCCGCCCCCGCACTGCAACCCCGGCCCCGCTGTTGGAAATTTCCAACACCGAATACAACACTGTTGTATTCTCATTAATTATTATAACTCTACTAATTATTGTAGTAAGTAAAATTAACACCACGTAGAATTCTCATGTACTAATAATTTCATCTGTGCAGTAGGCTAGAATTCTCACGTCATCCGACGCCAGTATTGCGTCAGATTTCATTACAATAAACACATTATATCCAATGTATCTGAGAATTAAATTCGATTCTCTATAACCAAGGCATTCTGTATGATAATTAATTACAGATAAATTGACTTCCAACTAAGAGCCGAATAGAGCGTTAAGAGTCATAGCGATTATCGAGTAATAAAAGTTAACGTCACGAGTGAATGCCATGGGGAGACATTAATTACATTACATACATACATTCATGTACAGCCACTAGAACGCGTAGCGTTTCCGGCAGGTCCCTGGATACGATCCCCTGCCGCGAAGAATCGTTTTTTCATCCAAGTACACATTTTACTGTTGCGTTAAACAGAGGCTACAGTTAAGGAATTGTGCCCAGTAAATCCTCCCCGGCCAGGATACGAACCCATGACATAGCGCTCGCGGAACGCCAGGCGAGTGTCTTACCACTACACCACGGAGACTGTAATTCCTCTCCCTTATACGTTTACTATCACTAAACTGGCAAATAATAATATTTCCCTCTTCTAAATAATAAACCCGTCCAGTCTCCAACATTTCAAGCATAAATGCGAGAAATATTAATGTTCATGACAATAATTTGGTTAATGAACGCGGGACGCGGCGTGGGTGAGGAGGACCAAGCCAGTACACGTGGAGGGAAGCTCTGAGGCAGACCTACCCGTATTGTGCTCACGAGGAGACGCCATTGCCCAGCCATCAGGGTAGACGTTATCCATCCTCAGATGAAAGTCGCCACTGTGAGGCGTGAACAACCTTGCAGATAATATCTTCAACTGGTGCTGGTGTAACATAAGGAACTTTTTAATCTGGTTCCTGACTACACGTGACCAGTCAGGGAAGCGCGCCATTATCCAGGATAGGCTGAAGCCAGAGCCTGGGGACGCGAATTTCGGCAATCTTAAAACTTATACAGTGCCCATATTAGCTAAGTATCTTATCTTTATTTGATGCATCTGGTAAAGTGTAGTGTAGTAGCTGGGTGATTGACCGTGACGACGCATGATAACCCCAAACCACAGGTGATTACTTATTATCACCTGTAACTCTTAAATTCTTGAATATAGAGATTCAGTAGTTTAATTAGTTGCTACTGTAAATATTTGTCTTGCAGCACGTGAGAAGAATTCTCCCTGCCGCCTTCTCCCATGTTAATCCATCCCATTCGTCAGCCAGCCGAGCCCAGGGAATTAGAGGAAGCGTCGTGGCTTACATAAAGGAATCGTCTTAAGCTAAGATTCTTTGTATTCATTCATGAAGTTTCTGAATTACTTATATGCAGAATTCCTCTGGATTAACATGTGTTTATTGTGACTATCATTATTATACTTATAATCTATGTTCCCATTTATGGTAATGACATTAGTTTCACTATAATTCATAGGATTAGCTTATTATAATTTGGATTAGTGAACGAACCACACTAGTTCCTGGACGTACTGACTTCCAGTAAAAACCCCCCAATGTAGGTGTTTGAGGGTTTGATTCATTTAATTATACAGCCCATTAATTATTTCTATGATCATATTCTCTAGTATTTTATCCATAGTTACTGGTTCATCTAGGAATTATCTAATGATCAGAAATTCTGTTTCCCTCTTTACTATAAAAGCAGGTGGTCCTTCGTAATTTAATTTACTACATTAATATTTAAATAATCAGATTCAAGCCCCAAATGTCCCACACCCGCCCCCGCACTGCAACCCCGGCCCCGCCCCCGCACTGCAAAACCCCGCCCCGCCCCCGCACTGCAAACCCCGGCCCCGCCCCCGCACTGCAAACCCCGGCCCCGCCCCCGCACTGCAAACCCCGGCCCCGCCCCCGCACTGCAAACCCCGCCCCGCCCCCGCACTGCAAACCCCGGCCCCGCCCCCGCACTGCAAACCCCGGCCCCGCCCCCGCACTGCAAACCCCGGCCCCGCCCCCGCACTGCAAACCCCGGCCCCGCCCCCGCACTGCAAACCCCGGCCCCGCCCCGCACTGCAAACCCCGGCCCCGCCCCCGCACTGCAAACCCCGGCCCCGCCCCGCACTGCAAACCCCGGCCCCGCCCCCGCACTGCAAACCCCGGCCCCGCCCCCGCACTGCAAACCCCGGCCCCGCCCCCGCACTGCAAACCCCGGCCCCGCCCCCGCACTGCAAACCCCGGCCCCGCCCCCGCACTGCAACCCCGGCCCCGCCCCCGCACTGCAAACCCCGGCCCCGCCCCCGCACTGCAAACCCCGGCCCCGCCCCCGCACTGCAACCCCGGCCCCGCCCCCGCACTGCAAACCCCGGCCCCGCCCCCGCACTGCAACCCCCGCCCCCACACAAGACGTGCCCCGCCTCCGCACTACAACACCCGCCCCGCCCCACACTACAACACTCGCCCCGCCCCACACTACAACACCCGCCCCGCCCCACACTACAACACCCGCCCCGCCCCACACTACAACACCCGCCCCGCCCCACACTACAACACCTGCCCCACACAACACCCGCCCCACACTACAACACCTGCCCCACACAAACACCCGCCCCACACTACAACACCTGCCCCACACTACAACACCTGCCCCACACACACCCGCCCCACACTACAACACCCGCCCCACACTACAACACCTGCCCCCACTACAACACCCGCCCCACACTACAACACCTGCCCCACACTACAACACCCGCCCCACACTACAACACCTGCCCCACACTACAACACCTGCCCCACACAACACCCGCCCCACCTACAACACCTGCCCCACCAACACCCGCCCCACTACAACACTACACTACACCCTGCCCCACACAACACACCCCCGCCCCACACTACAACACCTGCCCACACTACAACACCTGCCCCACACAACACCCGCCCCGCCCCACACTACAACACCTGCCCCACACTACAACACCTGCCCCACACTACAACACCCGCCCCACCTACAACACCTGCCCCACACTACAACACCCCCCACACTACACCCGCCCCACACACCTGCCCCACACTACAACACCTGCCCCACACAACAACACCCGCCCGCCCCACACTACAACACCCGCCCCACACTACAACACCTGCCCCACACAACACACACCAACACCCGCCCCACACTACAACACCTGCCCCACACAACACCCGCCCCACACTACAACACCCCCCACTACAACCTGCCCCACACCCGCCCCACACTACAACACCCGCCCCACACTACAACACCCGCCCCACACTACAACACCTGCCCCACACACAACACCCGCCCCACACTACAACACCCGCCCCACACTACAACACCTGCCCCACACAACACCCGCCCCCACTACAACACCCGCCCCACACTACAACACCTGCCTCACACAACACCCGCCCCACACTACAACACCCGCCCCACACTACAACACCCGCCCCACACTACAACACCCGCCCCACACTACAACACCCGCCCCACACTACAACACCCGCCCCACACTACAACACCCGCCCCACACTACAACACCCGCCCCACACTACAACACCCGCCCCACACTACAACACCTGCCCCACACACAACACCCGCCCCACACTACAACACCCGCCCCACACTACAACACCCTGCCCCACACAACACCCGCCCCACACTACAACACCCGCCCCACACTACAACACCTGCCCCACACAACACCCGCCCCCCACGACAACACCCGCCCCACACTACAACACCCGCCCCACACTACAACACCCGCCCCACACTACAACACCCGCCCCACACTACAACACCCGCCCCACACTACAACACCCGCCCCGCCCCACACTACAACACCTGCCCCACACAACACCCGCCCCACACTACAACACCAGCCCCACACAACACCCGCCCCACACTACAACACCTGCCCCACACTACAACACCTGCCCCACACAACACCCGCCCCACACTACAACACCCGCCCCACACTACAACACCTGCCCCACACTACAACACCCGCCCCGCACTACAACACCCGCCCCACACTACAACACCTGCCCCACACAACACCCGCCCCACACTACAACACCTGCCCCACACTACAACACCTGCCCCACACTACAACACCTGCCCCACACAACACCCGCCCCACACTACAACACCCGCCCCACACTACAACACCTGCCCCACACTACAACACCCGCCCCGCACTACAACACCTGCCCCACACTACAACACCTGCCCCACACTACAACACCCGCCCCGCACTACAACACCTGCCCCACACTACAACACCTGCCCCACACTACAACACCTGCCCCCCCACACTACAACACCTGCCCCACACTACAACACCTGCCCCGCACTACAACACCTGCCCCGCACTACAACACCTGCCCCGCACTACAACACCTGCCCCACACTACAACACCCGCCCCGCACTACAACACCTGCCCCACACTACAACACCTGCCCCACACTACAACACCTGCCCCACACTACAACACCTGCCCCGCACTACAACACCCGCCCCACACTACAACACCTGCCCCACACTACAACACCTGCCCCGCACTACAACACCCGCCCCGCACTACAACACCTGCCCCACACTACAACACCTGCCCCACACTACAACACCTGCCCCACACTACAACACCCGCCCCCACACTACAACACCTGCCCCACACTACAACACCCGCCCCGCACTACAACACCTGCCCCGCACTACAACACCTGCCCCGCACTACAACACCTGCCCCACACTACAACACCTGCCCCGCACTACAACACCCGCCCCCGCACTACAACACCTGCCCCACACTACAACACCTGCCCCGCACTACAACACCCGCCCCGCACTACAACACCTGCCCCGCACTACAACACCTGCCCCACACTACAACACCTGCCCCGCACTACAACACCTGCCCCGCACTACAACACCTGCCCCGCACTACAACACCTGCCCCACACTACAACACCTGCCCCGCACTACAACACCCGCCCCGCACTACAACACCTGCCCCGCACTACAACACCTGCCCCACACTACAACACCCGCCCCGCACTACAACACCTGCCCCACACTACAACACCCGCCCCACACTACAACACCTGCCCCGCACTACAACACCTGCCCCACACTACAACACCTGCCCCACACTACAACACCTGCCCCCGCACTACAACACCTGCCCCACACTACAACACCTGCCCCACACTACAACACCCGCCCCGCACTACAACACCCGCCCCGCACTACAACACCCGCCCCACACTACAACACCCGCCCCCACACTACAACACCCGCCCCCACACTACAACACCCGCCCCACACTACAACACCCGCCCCCACACTACAACACCCGCCCCACACTACAACACCCGCCCCACACTACAACACCTGCCCCACACTACAACACCCGCCCCCACACTACAACACCCGCCCCACACTACAACACCCGCCCCCACACTACAACACCTGCCCCCCACTACAACACCCGCCCCCACACTACAACACCTGCCCCCACACTACAACACCTGCCCCACACTACAACACCTGCCCCACACTACAACACCCGCCCCCACACTACAACACCCGCCCCACACTACAACACCTGCCCCACACTACAACACCCGCCCCCACACTACAACACCTGCCCCACACTACAACACCTGCCCCACACTACAACACCCGCCCCCACACTACAACACCCGCCCCACACTACAACACCTGCCCCACACTACAACACCCGCCCCCACACTACAACACCCGCCCCGCACTACAACACCCGCCCCACACTACAACACCCGCCCCCACACTACAACACCCGCCCCACACTACAACACCCGCCCCACACTACAACACCTGCCCCACACTACAACACCTGCCCCACACAACAACACCCGCCCCACACTACAACACCTGCCCCACACTACAACACCCGCCCCACACTACAACACCTGCCCCACACTACAACACCCGCCCCACACTACAACACCTGCCCCACACTACAACACCTGCCCCACACTACAACACCCGCCCCACACTACAACACCTGCCCCACACTACAACACCTGCCCCGCACTACAACACCCGCCCCGCACTACAACACCTGCCCCACACTACAACACCTGCCCCACACTACAACACCCCGCCCCGCACTACAACACCCGCCCCACACTACAACACCTGCCCCACACAACACCCGCCCCACACTACAACACCCGCCCCACACTACAACACCTGCCCCACACTACAACACCTGCCCCACACAACACCCGCCCCACACTACAACACCCGCCCCACACTACAACACCTGCCCCGCACTACAACACCCGCCCCGCACTACAACACCCGCCCCGCACTACAACACCTGCCCCACACTACAACACCTGCCCCGCACTACAACACCCGCCCCACACTACAACACCTGCCCCACACTACAACACCTGCCCCACACTACAACACCCGCCCCGCACTACAACACCCGCCCCGCACTACAACACCTGCCCCGCACTACAACACCTGCCCCACACTACAACACCTGCCCCACACTACAACACCCGCCCCACACTACAACACCCGCCCCACACTACAACACCTTCCGTCTTACAGAGCTAAGGGAGGCATTCCGGCTATTCGACAAGGACGGAGACGGGACGATCACCAAGCAGGAGTTGGGACAGTTCATGAGGAACCTTGGACAGTTTGCCACCGAGGAGGAGCTCCGGGTCATGCTGGACGAGATCGACATTGACGGTGAGTAGACCGTCTGTTTGTCCCCGTGGACGGTAGTAGACCGTCTGTTTGTCCCCATGGACGGTAGTAGACCGTCTGTTTGTCCCCATGGACGGTAGTAGACCGTCTGTTTGTCCCCATGGACGGTAGTAGACCACCTCCCTCTCCCCATGGACGGTAGTAGACCACCTCCCTCTCCCCATGGACGGTAGTAGACCACCTCCCTCTCCCCATGGACGGTAGTAGACCACCTCCCTCTCCCCATGGACGGTAGTAGACCACCTCCCTCTCCCCATCACAGCTCACAACAGTGACCTGGGCTAAATTCCCCAGTCAGGACCGAGACGGTTGGGAACATTTCTGTTCACCTGATGCCGCTTTTACCTGGCAATAACACACGTACCTGGGCGGTCATAAACTGCTGTGAGTTGCACCTTGAGGAACAAGTAGTTGGGCTAGGGAGGACCTCGATAAGCCAAAGTATCACGGGCTATGGTGATCCCGTAGTGAACGTACCTGGTACAGGAGCGGGGCTGTGTGGAGGGAGCTAGGGAGAATTAAACACTTCAGATGAGTAATGAGCACGTTCTGCACATTGCAGGATGGTAATTAAGCTACAGAATCAACAAACAAACTTGTACTCCGGTTAAGTGTTCTTGCGATACAGGTAATGGTAGTGGTCACATGCAGAGTGGGTATATTGTGTGTGTCTGTGTCTGTCCATCTGTCTTGTCTGTTTCCTTCTGTAGGCTTTGTCCCCAATATACGGAATGATGTATAATAATATATTTATTATGTAATATGTAATATATTATTATATAATATATATTATTATAATATATATCTATTATAAAAAATATATAATTATATATACATAAGTATATATAATAGGGGGGTACCACCACTGGTGCAATTATAGGGACCCACAGCCTCAGAGAAGGGAACACAGAGCATTCAGGGAAAAACTTGCCATTTAACTCTGAATACGTAACAGTATTCGCTTCTCCTACCACCCCCCTTTTTTATGGTGTACACTTTATTATGCAAGGTTATACAGTTATCTGATTTTATACAAAAAATGAACATTAAGAGGACACACACAAAAAGTTCGCTTCCTAGAGGCTGTAGATTTCCTTGAACTCCTCCGACGCCGGGCAGGAACCGAGGATGCAGCGAGCATTCCCCCTCTGGATCGCTACACTGAGGCGCTGAAAGAGAAAACTTGCTGCTCTAGGGTCTCTTGTGGTGTCAATGAGCTTGGAACCAAGATCCTTAAGAAACCTTCTTGCACTCTCTCCCCTTGGGTCTAGGGTCTCAGACCCTATTGGAACGAAGTTGTACCGATTATCTAATTGCCTGTACTTGGCTGACTTGTCTTTCTGTGTGTGTCGCTGTGGCTCCTGCTGTGCCGGCAGAGAGATTGATGTATGTGGTTGCCAGGGTGGATACACAAGTATAGTCCCACGCCAACTGTCTGCCACCCTTCCACGGTCGCAGTGTGATTCCGTCTGGTCGGCCGGCAAAGCTAACAGTCACGGTTCAGTATATATAATTATATATAAAACATGTAATTCAGAGGCAAATACAGGGTCAGGGCAAATGGA